GAAGTATCCAATCAAGCTATATGTGATAATAAAGCCGCTCTTCAGATTGCAGCTAATTCAGTCTATCATGAGCGCACAAAGCATATACGACGTGTTTGGATGGTGCTCGTCAAGCCACGACGTGTTTGGCTACATACGAGGTGTCTTCTGGGATCATACATGTGGGTGGATTATAGGTTTTTCTAAAACCAATGGCGTTTTTTCGGTGCTTGATGCGGAGCTATGAGGGGTTATCCGCGGCTTGAAGGTTGGGTATGTAAAGAGTTATTGTTGAAGCGGACAACAGGGAAACTTTTTCTACAATTGGTTATGATCAGGGTCAGGTGGGAATTCGTGGATGATGCCACATATTATTGATTGGATCGCTTGGAGACTACAGTTTTTACTTGCACCTCGTGAATGTAACATAGCTGTAAATGGGCTGGAAATGATGGCTTAAAATCATTCTTTTGGTTTACATATGTTTCACGAGTCTTCGGGGTAAGGTTGGCGTTGCTCCATCGGGTGATGCTTTATCAAATAATAATCATCGTGGAGTGTGATTATGCGATGGAGACTTAACTTAGTTTTTTAGTTTCCTTTTTTCTTTATTAAAAAACGAAAATCATTGTTTAATAGCGTAAAATAATTTTTAATCGATATTTAACTTAAATAGAGTTAAATATATTATACTAATAATAATTTTTAAATTTAAATATTAAAAATAACAACATAGAATTATTTAGATTTAAAATTTCTAATATTATTGAATATACTCATTTATATTTTACTATTATATAATATAATACTTTTATTTTAATAATAAATATATATTATTAGTACAACTTATTATTTTAATAAAAATGTTATTTTATATTGTACTATTATTATTTAATAAAATATTATTCTCAATACTCGATTGAAAATGTTTTATATTATTATTTTATTAATAATAAATATATACAAATTAAAATATATAAAATAATAAATATCTTGCAAGAAAAAATATTAAAATTTTAATCATATAAATATTTGTCGCAACAGTCCTTCGGGTGGGCCCGAAATTGGGCTTCGACTTAAATAAAACATGCAAGAGTCACCACCGATCATTTATATATTTTTTCAAACATAATTAGGTTGACCGGATACCTCATTTGATCATCTTACCTTATCTGTGTTTTACCAAAAATATGTCAGGTTCGAGAGTCGGTTATAGTCAAGGAAGGATTAGCACCCTTGTACTGCCCTTTTGGTACTAATTTAATTTTTCGGTAGTCTTAACTGCGAAAATTAAAAGTTAAATTGGAATTTAAAAATTCGACTCAAACTACTTACCTTTGATCGATTAGAATTACCCCTAATAAAATATCAGACTATGAAATAAAATGTATAAATAATTCACAAAATTAGAAAGGTCAAAAAAATTTAAAAATGTTTTAAAAAAATAAAAAAGGGAAATTTAAAGGACTAAATTGAAACAAATTAAAATTGAGGGACCAAATTAATACTAAAGATATGCTGCAAAGGTGCGTTTGGTTTACGGAATATAAAATTGGAATGTAAGACTACCAGAGAATAGGATTACTGAGAATGTTGTATTTTGTGTTTGGTTGGCTTACCATGAATGTAAGATTACCGTGTTTGGTTAAAGGAATAAAAGATTATTAGAATGTATATTTGACCAAATTGTCTTATTATATATTTGTTTTTTTAACAAGTTGGAAAATATTTATATATTTTCTTTAAAAAATTTAAATTCATAAAATTTATATAATTTTTTTTACAAAATTGAAAATATAAAAAGGTTTAATGAAAGGGTAAAATTTTATTTTAACCCTTGAACTTCATATAAAATTTTAATTATAGATTTTTTTTTGTAAATCTAAAATAGTTTAAGGATAAATTTGTAATTTAACCTTCGTAGAATTTTTATTATTCAATGACAGAAGAATGATATTTTTGAAAAAAAAAATTAAGGGCATTTTAGTCCAAAACACCGGTAATCCAACAATACCTAAGGAAAGGGAGGTAATGACATTCCCGATAATATACCCCAAAAAATCCACAATTGGTAATCTTACATTACCGGAAATAGAATTCCTGGGCTAACTAAACGGGGGAATGTGGATTCCATTCCCATGGGAATCCCACATTCCCCCATCCAAACACCCCCTAAGAGTTAGAGGGGTTAAATTGTAAAAAAAACATAAATTATAAATAGTGATTAAATCGAATTAATTGAAAATTCAGAGGTAAAATTGAGATAGGTGACCAAAATGAATTACACATCAAAAGGATAGAGACTGTGGAAATAATTTAACTATTTGGTATTTGCACTCTAGTCCCTCGATTATATATCCCCCAAAACCTAAAAAAATCATTTCAAACCTTTCACCTAAAAAAACCTCTCAAAACACTCTCCCCTCTCCCTTTAACCAGCCTAACGTCGGACACATTCCGACAACGCCCCTCCATCTCGACCGTTTCTCCCTGCCGCTTCGGCCACCGAAAAAAATCAAACTTACTGAAAATGTTCCTCATGCCACCCCGAAGCCAAACCCGAACTCCAAATCTCCACGACAAAGCCCAAACGACGCAGATCTAAAGAAAAGCACTTGGTTTTTACCTTTTCCAACGAGCCCCTTCAACTTTTAGCAGCCGCTTCTTTTTTGAGCCAAGATCGGGGCTTCTTTTGTTTGTTTTTTTGATTTTTTGTGTGGTTTGTGCAATATTTTGCTTCGTTTTATTTGGCGTTTTGGTGATTGGTTGCCTTCCTTTGTTTGATCGTTATATGCTTAATTTTTTTCGTTTGTTTTTGTTTGATGTTGTGTTCGATGGGTATTTCGTTGTTTTGTCGTGTCCTTTACTGTGGTTCATTTGTGGCTTTTTATAGACTCTAGAAATCGGTTGCAACCCCGAATTTGTCGAGATTTGGGTGTGGCCGACTCTCTCAGCGTGGTGTTCATGGTTGTTTGTGGGTTGGCCGAAAACTCCGGGATGGTGCAGTCACGGGTTGGCCGAATTTTACTGTGGTCGGCGACGCTGCTTGCTTGGTGTTGAAAACTCTAATGGACTTGTGGCCTGGGTCAGGCCTGCATGCTCAAACGAGTTTTCCTTTCTTGGATCGTGACCTTTAGATTGGAATAGAAAAATAAGAAAAATAAATAAATGAATAAAATAAAATAAATAAAATAAAATAAAATGGAAAATAGAAAATGGAAAATGGAAAATGGAAAATGGAAAATAAAATACTAATAATATTTATATTTATATATTTCAAAAAATATGTTTCAAAAAACATTTTTAAAAAACTATATTATATGTTGCCAGCAACCGATTTTTAAAAACTATATATTATATACGTTTTCAAAAATATGTTTTCAAAACTATATATTATATGTTTTAAAAATTGTTTTCTAAAAACTATATATTATACGTTTTTCAAAACTATACTATATTATTATATATACTAAATAAACCCCGTACAAAAATGGGTGACTATAATATTAATACAAATTATTAATATAATATTTATTTGATTAATGTAATATTATTATTAAAGTAGAAACTTTAAATTATTGTTTTGATTTTTAAAATATAATACTGCAAATATTATTGTTAAACTAAATATATTTAAAATTTTAGTATAAAAATTTATAGTTTACCAAAAAAATAAATAATATTGTTTTATATATTTTATATTAATATAATAATATTCGTGTATTAAAAGATATATTAATTGTAAAAATTTTATTGTTTTAAAATTATATGAATAAAGATTATTGTAGTAAAAATTTATACATAAATCTTTATGAATACAGATGATATTCAAATGTGTGACTTTTAATTATTTATTTTAAAAATATTATAAATACTAATTATAATTAAAAATAATTTTTTAATTTTTTAATGAACTCATAACACCAAGGTAGAATATAATTATAATATAGATATTAATTATTTAATTATTTATTAATAAAATGTTAATATTTTAATATTATTTCAAATCTTAATTTTTATATTTTCTTTGTATTTAAAATTAAAAAATTATAAACTTTTTACAAAATAACCAATCAATAAAAAATATATTTAATTAAATTATACAATAATCATATCACTTTTAACTTTTTTATAATTTCGAGGGGGTAAATCTCTTACATAAATGAAGCGAATGAAAGATAATTAGTCGTCTTCTCTAAAAATAAATTTTAATTTCTCGTAAAAATAAAATATTTTGTTTGTACTTATTATTAGTAGCCTATTTTATTTCCTAAAATTCTATAAATTCGTATCTTACTATAAAATTATTGAATCTGCCTTTTCCAATAAAATTTTACATCCGTTTTTATGTATCATTATTTTTGTTTGTCATTGGTAGATTAATTATAAAATATTAGAAAATATCTAAAACGTTGTTGAATATTATGAAATAATCTTCAAGCTGACTAGAAATAACAGTCAATTTGTCGCCATCGTCACAAAACTGAAACAGAAGTTTCTAAGAAGATCTAATACCACCAATGATCATCCTTTCAAAAACATGTACAGTTGACGAAATATGTTTGATGAAAATACGGTAAATCACACAAATGATCTATCAATTATATGATGTTGTTTTGTAAGTCTTCAACTATTAAAAGTTACAAAATATTCTCCGATCATAAGACATTACTTTGTTAAATCCCTCGACTATTAAAAGTTACAAAATGATCCCCGACTATTTATATGTTTTAAACTAATCATTTTTTGTTAAAAAAATTTATAATAGACTAAGCTGGACATTAACATCTTGACTAAGATATGATAGTCATTTGGGATTTTAATATCATATTTTATCAATCAACATATTAATGTCCAACTCAGACTGTCATTGGTTTTTTTACAGAAAATAACATTTGAAATATATGAATAATCGGGTGACCAAATGACTCGAAAAATCAATATCCTTTAGTCAATGAATTATTTTGTAATTTACAATAGTTGATGACTCAAGAAAACAATACCATGTAGTTAGGGAACCATTTATGTACTTTACCCAAGAAAGAAATCGAAGTTGTTACAACAGCTTCAGCCCACCAGTTACATCATCCACCATTTCTATAGGTCCTACAAACAACATTCCATGGTAGAACCAAAATATAAGAATAGAAATTCGCAGAATTTTAGGCAAACCAGAAGAAGCTTACCAAGAATAGCCATCACCGTCCTCGAATCTGAATCAGAAAAAAAAAGCCTTTACAAAGGAAAAGCTATCCAAATGAAAAATGATCTAAATCTGTATTTCTTTAACTCAACAGTTTCGTCCAATCTTTTCTATTTTTCCTTTGACATAATCTCAAAATTAGTCCCCGACGTTTATTGAAATGGTCATCCCCCCCTATTTTTGGAATATTTTAACCCTTAATATTTCATTTTAGGGAAAAAAGACACCTAATATTTGATAGAATAATCACTCTGTCTCTTATTCTTTTTTCTAGGGCATTTTAGCCCTCAATGTTTTATTTTAGGTTAAAAAAATCCTATTTTGGAATGTTAATTATGTGTTAATTAATGATTTTCATCTATAAAGGGAGCTTTTTAAACCAAAGTGAAACGTTAAGGGCCAAATCTCAAAAAAAAAAAAGAATAGGGACCAAAATTACAATTTTGGTAAACATTGGAGGCTATTTTTGACATTATGCCTTTTCCTTTTATGAAACCCATACTTTGATTTCCCATTTTTAGCTAAAAACTTGTAAAGCAATGAATAACTAAGGGTGGCAGAAGAATAAGAGAAAATGGAGTGCTATACCCAAGTTCTTTTATATAACTTAATCATGAGTGAATTCACAGGCTAAGACAAACTCTCAGATTGTGCAATTTAAAGAAAGTGATGATTTACTGTGATGACATGAATGATAAAGGAAGAAAGAAATTTACACTATGCTACTCACTTGGAGCAATCTGAGTTCTCCCTGCATCAATGGTGATATGTGTCGGTATGTTTAGTGATTTTGCCCTCTCCTGAAAAGTTAATAATTGATAAAACCACGTAAAATGAAATACTGAGTCATTAGAAATTATAACAATCTAATGAGAAGAAAAAAAAAAAGTTGTTGATGCCATTCAAACCAGTGGAGCGTGGACCATTTGTTGGAGATAGGTTTGGTAACAATAAAAAGAAGACATAATGTCACGTCATCACTTTCAACACGTGGCATGTGTCACATTATCACTTTCGACACGTGGCATGTGAACGTCATTGCTTTCGATGCATGACATATGCCACACCATCACTTTGGACACACGACAATCTCACATCAACGTCATACGTTGACCGTTAGTCAACTAACGGTTTACATCCACAATCAAGGGACATTTTGCCTCAAAATGAAACGTTAGTGACCAAAGAGATAAACAATCATAGAAGCCAAGGTGACTATTTTGTCAAACGTTTTGGTGAATTTTGGCATTATGCTAAAAAGGAAACATCAACCAAGTCCTAAGATTTGTATCAAAGAATTACCAACAGCAAGGTAGTTAATATGCTCTTGTATAAACAGTAAATGGTTAATGCATCATATAGAGAAAAATGGATAAATCTAATAGAGCCACTCTTGTATAAACAGTAAATATGCTCTGCCCTCTACTATCCACAAAAGCAAAACCATAAACTTATTTCTTTCACCGATACTTAGAAAAGAAGGGGTAAGTTCCGCATCAAAATAAATTCGTTCTTTCATCTGAAACGTGGGTTTTTTCTTCGGACAAATTTCTCTGTTGATAGATTGTTATACAAATTAATTAAATTACAAGATAGAGGGAGTTAATAGTAAACGGGGTACCCATAATATTTATCAGAATATGAAGCACAGGAATAAATCTTAATTACACTTACTTGCAAAACTAGCATATCTTCCTCGCTATCAATTTTCACAACCACCTTCGGTTGAGCACACATCTCCCACCTGCATATTAACAAAATAAGAAAATGAAAGACAGACAGAATGAAAAGCACATAATCTACAGTTTAATAATATAATGCCAGAAATGCTCTACCCGTTCAAAGCTTTTGGTGTTTGGTGTAGGATATTTTTGTAAAGACCCAAAGTCGCATGACTAAACGTTAAAAGAAAAAAATAAGTTGGATTACGAACTGAACAAAAAGGGATCCAACAGCACAAATTTATGTGCAAATCAACTAAGGGTCATGCAACAAGAGGTTAAGAAATCATATCAGATGAATTGACCACGTTTTAACTATATAGAAGATCAGTGAGCAGCCACCAAAGTAGCAGCCTTTTGTTAAAAGTTGGCAAGAAAATGAATCTGCCGATTTGCTGTTTACTGAACCGCACGGTTGCACATGAGGAACTTTATAAATGACCATACCAAATGTGTTAGTTTTGACTTTTGAGGAAATTAAATTCCCAAATACTTACAATCAATTTCTTACAAGATGCTATGCCATGATGACATGAGATTGATAATGTCACAGATGACGCAGTGCAAAAGTTACAATCATTCACCGAGTATGATCTGCTATAAGCACTCCTGCGTATCACACCCCAAGCATTCAAGTATAATGACAATTTAATTGATGGTAGTCACGGTTCCAGGCAGTTGCTTTACTTTTTCTCGGAAGCATATTCATCATCAGTTACTAGGAATAAGCATGTCCCATCTAATCAACAAAGTTATGGATTAGGAAAGGATCAATCAACAATCACATAGTAATTCATTCAAACGTAAGAGAACATTTACCACACTACCTGGCTTGACTGCAAACTCATATCTCATTTGCAAGCAGTTGCATCTAATGAAAAGCGTAATAAGTACTGAAACCAGAAAAAAGAAAAAACAAGGCTCACCTGCACTGGGTAGCAAATTTCCCTTTACCCATATTAAGATCATTTCTTACAACCAATACCTGAAGATAATAAAAGAAAGACGGAGATGTTCAATGTCTATTTTTTTACATTTCATAGTTTGCCTAACATACCAATGTCAATCCCAAGGAGTTCGAGAAACTATTCAATACCATTTTAAAATCCTCTAGAATGTCAGCCAACTTTTCGATTTCCAAGGGTTCTATGATCTTCTTATTTTCTTTAGAGAATGCAGTATCTTTAGTTCCTCTAGATGAGAGAAATAAATAAGTAGGATGGTGCCTACCAATGCAATACCCCAAGGCAAGACAGCCAGCCCCAACTAGGATGGCACTCAACCATGACAGACCCACCATTTTAAAGAACCAACGACAATGCCCCCTTTGTCCTAAAAGCTACAAAAAGCATAGAAAAATCACATATTTTAATACAATTAAACTTATGTTACAGATAAATGAAAGGAAAAAAATAGAAACTAATAATGTTATCATCAGTAGCAGTAACAATACAAGTAGGGCTTATTTAGGCTCCATTTAGTTGATGTTGGTTTCTGGCTTTGCAATTGACATTCAGCTTCCTATAACGTTGCTAAAATGTAAAGTAAATGATAAAGGCGAAATGATAACTAATTAGAACAGGCATAAATAATTCAAGTTTAACACCAGTTACAGCATCATTATTGTTCAACATAAAAGTATTTTCTTATCCAAAAATGATTGAATTTCTAAAATTTTGTATCCAAACATTTTTTTCTTCATACTTCCAGGGATGGACCGCGGGGAGCTGGCGGTGGCAGTCGGCCCCACTCCTGAAATTTTCAAATTCAATAATTTAGATATTTTTTTTATTTTCTACTGATAGTTTGTTTGCGCAAAAAAATTTTCATAAATTCATTTCTCCCTAGAATTTTGTAAGTTCTCCGCCCAACATAAAATCATGCTTCAGTTCCTTGTACATCCAAAAGGAGGGGGAAAAGCAGCTAGCAAAAACAACAACCAATTGATAGCTAAATTACATAAATCAAATTAACAGAGCCAATGCCAGTAAAAAATACAAGAAATATGTAAAATGTGATTGGTCCAATTAAATTAAACACCTAATTTTCATTCCAGCAGATTTTTAACCACATGGGTTTCAGGCATTAATAACAATTACATCTCTGAACTTTGCAAGTTTCAAACTTTATCCTAGATATTCGCTAATGAAGAAAACACTTCCACAATCACCAGGAAAAAAATACATCATAATCTTAACTCAAATTTTAAACAAAAAAATTTAACGGAAAATGGAAGAAAGAAACAGATAAAGTATACCGATTAGAGCTTGGGTCAGGGTTCGATCGTGGAGTTTTTGACTTTGGGTTAAATGGGAAAGTGGGTTTTTTTGGGGGGATTTGCTATTGGGTTCAAAGCAATGGTTAAGTGAAACAAAAAGAAAATGGCTGCTTGCGATCGATAAATGGGGAGAAAAGGAGGGAAAGGGGATACGTACAGTCAAATTCAGAAAACAAAACAAAAATGTAGCAGCAAGTAAAGCAGAGAGAATTAACAAAAGCAAGAAGAGAGTGTGATCGTCAAGAGTAGAGACGAAATACAAATTCCAAAATTATACTAAATGGCTTCTACTTAAATAAATATGTTAGAGCCGCCATTCACTTTCGGTACTAATTTAATTTTTCAGTTGTCTTAATTACGAAAATTATAAATTAAAAATAAAATAGTATACAAATTAATTATCTCCGATTGATTAAAAGTACCCTAAAAATTAAAAAGATGTTGGATTTATAAAATAAAATATTGAATTAATCAAAAAGAAAAATTAACAAAAATTAAATTATTATACCTTGAACGGAACAAAGAGAAAAGAAATATATACATACATATATATATATATATATATATATGTCGAGAAATAAATAGAAATAAAATTAACATAATGAAATGCTAAAAATAAATAGAACTAGTTCATGCCATGTAAAGAAATAAATTACACATATTAAAAACATGAAGTGATGAAGAAGACAATGTAAAGAAAATGATAATTAAAAATGTCAAATGCTAGATCAAATACAAACAAAGACAAAAAAATAATTAAATTAAAACAAAAAGTAAAGAAAATAATAAAATAAATAAATAAATTATCAGATCAAAAACTCATGAAATATAATAGCCTTTTAGATATAATTAATGAAAACATGAATTAAATAAAGAAAGTATTAAATTAAATAAAGTGAGTGGTGAATTTAAGAAAAAAAATTGTAACTAAAATTGAATTAAAAGCATGAAATGGGTTTTAAGAATAGTTTAGGATTAGCGCTGCAATTAGACCCTACCCGTGTGAAAACACGTGGATTCTCAGAGGATCCGAATAGGTCATCGGGTCGCTATAAAGCCCAGAAATCATAAACAACTTTCATTTTTTCTTCCCCAAAACCGATCAAAACTATTTTCTTCAAAATCCTCTGAAATGTTCTTCGTGTTCTTCATAACACGAAAAACATTCAATCGAAACCTAGATTTCGACTGTGCTCCGCCTCGCCGGTCACCGTTCATCGGCGGTGAAACCAACATATTTTACACTGTTCGAAAGCTTATGATATTCTCTTTTCAAATATCCCCACCACTTTTCTCAAAAAGTCTCGAGGAGAGCTAGATCTGAGAAAGACCTTTCAAAAACCCCGCTTTTTTGAAAATCCCCCCTTTTTCGAGCATCTGCTTCTCTTTTCGTGGGTTTTTTCGAGTCAAAAAAAGAAAACAAAATAAACCAAACACCAACATGCAAGTGCCAAGCCAAGAAAGGGAAAAATAATACCTTTTTTATTATGTTTCTTTTCGAAATTTACAAGTATCTTTTGTTTCAATCTCTAACTTATTTTTTGTTTGATTTTGTAGGGATTTATAGACTTAATAATCACCCTTTTTCGCTCGGTTTAGAGTCCTAGTTAGAGTAAAGTCCTTTAGGATTTTGGTTGTTGGCTTTATTCTCCGAAAATAGTTTCCCACTAGGGAATAACTTATTCAAAATCGCTCGAAAAATCGGGGGTTGTGGAGCCAAATCCCTCCTTGTTAGGCGGTTGCACGGATTGGGGGTTGTTAGGTTTAGAAACCCTAAAGTTGGTCTATGTCGTAGGTTGTTGGATTGGTTGCAGATCCAACGGTTCAGGATCAGCTACGATGTGGTGATATTTTTAGGGTTTTAAAAACCCTAACTATTATGCAATCTGAGCGTTGATCGATGCCAGATCTTACGAATGGGAACGCGCAGCGCTTTTACTTAAATTTGAAACCCTAGTTTGCTGGGTCAGGCAAACTTGGGCTTCTGCTTGTTAGACTCTTAGTCGGGTCAGTTTGTGGGTCCGACCTGCTTACCAGGTTGGGCTCCTTCATTCCCTCATTCTGGACTTGGATTTGGACCTTGGACTCCCTGTTGGACTAAATAAAACAAAATATAATAAAAATATAATAAATATAATATAATAAATAATATAATATAATATAATATAATATAATATAATATAATAAATATATAAATATATATAATATAATATAATATAATATAATAAATAATATAATATAATATAATATAATATAATATAATATAATATAATATAATATAATATAATATAATATAATATAATATAATATATATATATAATATAATATAATATAATATAATATAATATAATATAATATAATATATATAATATAATATAATATAATATAATATAATATAATATAATATATATATATAATATAATATAATATAATATATATATATATAATATAATATAATATAATATAAATATAATATATATAATATAATATAATATATATATAATATAATAATATTTTCAAAAATATATAATGTTTTCTAAAAGTATATATTATATATGTTTTCAAAAACCATTTTAAAAACTCTATATATATATATATATATATATATATATATATTATAATATATATATATATATATATATATGTTTTCAAATTATGTTTTTAAAACTATATATCATATATGTTTTCAAAAAGGTTTTCAAAACTATATACTATATATGTTTTCGAAAAATGTTTTTAAAACTATATATTATATATATTTTCAAAAAACGTTTTCAAAACTATGTTTTCAAAAAAAAGTTTTCAAAACTATATATTATATATATTATATGTATAAAACCCCGTACGAAAATGAGGACTGCAACTGCCCCTTTTTGCCCATAGTCGTGTAACGGGAATAGAGCAAAGATTAAGAGGCACTATTTTCGTCCATCATGAATGGATCACCAGGTCTAACATCCTCTGTTATGGGGGTCGATTCCCATCTTATCGAAAATCCTCTGTCGTAGAGTTGAAATTCAATGTTATGATTGGTTTGTTAACTTGGACTGAATTACGGATGACTCCATCGCCATGAAGCTGAGTCAATCTTGAAATGATGGTTTGCACGATATTCGTCGTCATAACATTGAAATTGTGGTTGACTCCTTCGTTGTGATGTTGAATTGAAATGAAAAATCTTGAGTACGATATCATTCGTTGTGAAGTTGAAATCGTGGACCTCTTGAGCGTGACAACCTTCGTTGTGAAGTTGAAACCGAGCTCAAAGTATTGGAAAGTAACTCTTGAATCATCTTCTAGCCCAATATTCTTCATTGTTAAACTGAAATTTGACCTAAAGACTTGGCATGAAAATGGTTTTTCATTGTTTTGTTACAGATCACTCATTTGTCATGAAGTTGGGTCAATCTTTTGGGTATGATATCCTTCATTGTGAAGTCGAAATCGTGGGTGACTCATTCGTTGTGAAGTTGAGTTCAAATCGATTTTGAGTTGGATATCATTCGTTGTGAAGTTGAAATCCAATTGGTGTAAGTTGTATCGTTTTGAGTTTAATATCTTTCGTTGTGAAGTTGAAATTGACTCTGACAAGAATCTACAAAATTATATATGCTATGCTATGGATGCAATGTCCTTATATATGTCTAAAATGCATATGTAACATGTTATTTTAGAGAGAAATCTCAATCTCCTGGTGTCGGTTTTGATGACTTTTGACAAACTTGATTTTCTGATTCTTGATTTCTGATCTTTGATTTGACATATACTCTGGGAGTTTTGTGAAATAAACTTTATCTCTAGTCTTGACTTGATCAACTTTGCCTCAATTAACTGGAACCCATTATCTCGAGTGTGGCATAACAACCTTTATCGGCTTCCGGCCACCTGTACCTTCCAAAAAATCTTTGTACAATAATACGTGATTATCTTTTTTGAAAGTGAATAAATCATTTAAATTCAATCTAAGATGTTTGAAAGGAATTGACTTGGAGAAATGGACATATTTATTTATAAGGGAAAAGGAACAAATAGTACATGACAAACATTCTGGAAAG